TGAAAAAGTTAAGGAATAAATCTGCTCACATTTTTAGCGATTCGCCGATTTGTTTCGATGAAAAGATCTGTTATTTTATTTATTGATTTTTTACTTTGTTGGTATTTGATATTCGGCATAAAGAGATCTATAAATACTGTATGCTTTACACATGTGTCAGCATTTTTAAATGGTTATTTCACAACACCTGAGCAATATCGTGACGTCACAGTGTGTACATAAACAGACTTCGACGCCAGCTGACCTCAGAACACTATTCCAAACTCCGGGTCCCGATGCCATCATGGAGAGGGCAGAAGGCTACTGGAGGGTGTCCTCTGCCGCTTACTTCCTAACCAAGCTGTGCATTATTCAGAGAAAGTCGTGTACGGGTCCGCCTCGTGTTTCTACACGGCCGCGGGCCCAGGAAGACCACACCCACCGTGCGTTCTAAATTGGGCGTGCGGTACCCACACAACACACACGACGTAAGAAGAGGATGAACATCTGGGTTGAAATGGGGATTGGTTTTCCCGTTAGCGGCGACGCAGTCACATGGAAACGTGTGCTAGTTACCGGGAAGCCAGCCCCAGGACGACCCCCAGGGCTGCTATATTTGTGGGCGTGTTTTATAATTTCACGCTTCAAAATGGTATTCCTGGGGTAATATTTCTACTTGAACCATACACAAACGTCGGTTTCCTGTGTTTCGTTCTGATATGCTACATGTTATAAAGTTGGCTTTTAGATTTTTCCTTGTGTAACTTCACGGAGTGTTTGAATTCTACTTAGTTTTCTGTGGGCGGGGTTGATTTTGTGTGGTTTTTTTAATCGTGTTTTGTAATGTTTTTTCCCAAATATACTTTTTTTTCATGGATATGTTCTAAAATGACATTTGAAGAAAAACTAATAATATAACTTTTGGTGAGGCATAATCAGAAACGTCGCCGGACTTAAAAGGTACCCTTGTTAGTAGGTATCGGGACCCTGAGTTTCGCTTCTGTCGGAAATTTCCGCGTTGATCCGTTCATGTCCAGCGGAAGGAAAGTTAAAATCTAATGCACAGGTTCTTCTTCCCGAATGTTTTTTTTCTCCAACTTCTGATGTGTATCACAAATACTTGCTTACATTATGTGATTTTCTCATGAAGTTCAAAAGCGAAAAAAATAACAACTCACAGTCACATAATATCATTTATATTCACAAGTTCCTGTGGTGTTTGTGTGTAAGTAAGTGTGTGTGTTATATCTATTGAACATTTCTGAATCTATACCAAAAAATGCACATACATGTATTTTTTGCGCATTAATTTCAGATAGATGGCTAATCAAATAGTGCTCCTTATCCGCACTCCGTAGTCTGTGAAAGATTGTAAGTAATAGTTGTACTTGACAATACCTCCTCTCTCAGCTCTGTTTAGTAGCTCCCTTTTTTGTTTTGGGTTTTCCTGAATTCCATTCTTTTTTTTAATTTTTACCTGTGCGATCCTGTTGCTTTTTAAAATATCTCCTCAGTTCCATTTTTATTATTTCCCTTTTTATTTTGATTTCTCCTGAGTTACATTCTGCTTTTCATTTTACCCACTGCCTTGCTGTTACTTTATGTTTTGATTTCTCCTGAGTTCCATCATTTCTTTCCCTCTGCCTTGCTGTTACTTTATGTTCTGATTTCTCCTGAGTTCCATCATTTCTTTCCCTCTGCCTTGCTGTTACTTTATGTTCTGATTTCTCCTGAGTTCCATTATTTCTTTCCCTCTGCCTTGCTGTTACTTTATGTTCTGATTTCTCCTGTGTTCCATTATTTCTTTCCCTCTGCCTTGCTGTTACTTTATGTTCTGATTTCTCCTGAGTTCCATTATTTCTTTCCCTCTGCCTTGCTGTTACTTTATGTTCTGATTTCTCCTGAGTTCCATTATTTCTTTCCCTCTGCCTTGCTGTTACTTTATGTTCTGATTTCTCCTGAGTTCCATTATTTCTTTACCTCTGCCTTGCTGTTACTTTATGTTCTGATTTCTCCTGAGTTCCATTATTTCTTTCTCTCTGCCTTGCTGTTACTTTATGTTCTGATTTCTCCTGAGTTCCATTATTTCTTTCCCTCTGCCTTGCTGTTACTTTATGTTGTGATTTCTCCTGAGTTCCTTTATTTCTTTCCCTCTGCCTTCCTGTTACTTTTTTGTTGTGATTTCTCCTGAGTTCCATTATTTCTTTCCCTCTGCCTTCCTGTTACTTTTATGTTTTGATTTCTCCTGAGTTCCATTATTTCTTTCCCTCTGCCTTCCTGTTACTTTTTTGTTTTGATTTCTCCTGAGTTCCATTATTTCTTTCCCTCTGCCTTGCTGTTACTCTTATGTTCTGATTTCTCCTGAGTTCCATTATTTCTTTCCCTCTGCCTTCCTCTTACTTTTTTGTTTTGATTTCTCCTGACTCTGTCGTCTGTCCGTCGATCAACCTTTTCTACAAATCACTACTAGTCATGAACAAAAGAGTAGATTTTGACGAAATTTGGCCAAAAGCATCCTTATTTTGTATAAGTAAAGTGGCTCGCCCCCGTTGGACAGGAGGGGTGGGGCCGAACAGGGGAAATTAAGCAATTCTTTATAACCCTAAACCTCCCCCCTGTAGGAATGGTTAGATTTTGCCCAAATTTGGTCTGAATCATTCTCGAGTAAAGAGTAATCAATTTGTATAAACGGTGGATCTCAGCCCCCTGTGGCAGGAGGGGCAGGGCCCAATAGGAGAAATGGAGCGATTTCTTTGAAATCCTGCTCCTCCTGTAGGAATGATTAGATATTGCCCAAATTCAGGCAGAAACATTGTTGGGGGAAGGGTAATCGATTTATATAAACTGTGGGTCTCTGCCCTCTTGGGCAGGTGGGACAGGACCCAATAGGAAAATTAAGCAAATCCTTTAAAGTCTTACTCCTTTTACAGGAATGATTGTATTTTGGCTAAATTTGGTCTCGAGCATTGTTGGGGGAAGGGGAATAAATTCTGCTTAAACTGCGGGTCACGGTCCCGTGGGTTAGGAGGGATATGACCAGTTATGGGAAATAGAGTAAATTCTTTAAAATCCCACTCACCCTGTAGGAATGAATGGATATTGCCCAAAGTTGGTTTGAAGCATTCTTGTATGAAGGGGAATCAGTCTTGTATAAATATAAGGTCTCGACCCTCTGGGGCGGGAGGGATGGGGTTCAATAAGGGAAATAGGGTAAATTATTTAAAATCCTACTCCTCCTGTAGGAATAAATGAATATTGCCAAGACTATTCTTAGGTGAAGGGGAACCATTTTCTCACGGCCAACTGGGGCGGGAGGAGTGGGGCAATATTAGGGAAATGTAAGTTCCTACATTGACATGTCCTAGTTTGGTCTGAAGTAATTATCATTAATAGTGAATCTGATTTCTGTTTGAGTACAAGACTGGGGCCCAACAAGGGAAATATATAAAAAAAAATTTGAATTTTTTTATTAAATGGCTGAATTGCTAAACTAGCGAGGTGAGCAATGCATGTCCATTGGGATTCTGGTTTGATTTACATGTTTCTTCCTGTTGTTTTTTCATTTGATTTCTCTTGACTTCCATTCTGTTATAGCTCAGCTGGTCGAAGGATTAGTCATGAAGACTGAACAGATTTTTGACAAAATTTAGTCAGATACATACCTCCTTTGGGTAAGGGGGAGCCAAGGTTTTATAAATATTGGTTCCCGTCCCCAGAGGCCTGAGTGGCTGGGTCCATTAGGGGGAATAGTTTTTTTTTGTTTTTTTTTTTAAATTTTGTTTTGTTTTCTTGAAACCTCCTCCTGTAGGAATGAATGGATATTGTTCCGATTTGGTTTGAAGCAATCTTGGGGAAAAGGGAATCAATCTTGTATAGATGGTCTGGGCCCACTGAGGCGGGAGGGGTGAAGCCCAATAGTTGTTGAAAATGAGCTAATTATTGAAAAAGGCGTACTCTCCTGAAGGAATAAATGGAGATTGCCAAATTTGGTCTGAATCATTCTTGGGTGAAGGGAAATCAGTTGTTTATGAGGAGTGGATTCTGACCCAATGGAGTGGGAGTGACAGGACCAAATTGGTGAAATAAAGCAAATTCCTTGAAATCCTACTTCTTCGTTAGGAATGATTGGGTTTTGCCAAATTTTGGTCAAAAGTCTGTGTAAGATTTGTTTCTCAGCTACCAAGAACCTGAGGGATGGGGCTCAAAAGAGTAAATTTTGCAAATTTTACTCCTCCTGTAGGAATCAATGGATATTGCCCAAACTTGATCTGGTGCATTTTTGGGTGAATATTATCAGTTTTGTATAAAGGGTAAGTTTTGGCCCCCTTGCGAGAGAGGGAGGAAAGAGGGTATCCAATAGGGAAAATAGATCAAATTCTTTAAAATTTCATTCCTCCTCTAGGAATGATTGATTTTGCCCAAATTTGGTCTAAAGTATTCTTGGGTAATGTGGAGTAAGTTTTATGTAATCAGTGTATCCCGGCACCCTGGGCAGGAGGGTTGGGGCCCAATTCATAAAATGTAAGTTCTTAAAATATTTTCTGAATGAAGATATTGAGCAAGTTTGGTCTGAAGCAATTTTTAATGATAGTGAATCTGACTTCTGTTTGGCCAGAGGGTTGGGACCCAATGGGAAATTATATCAGAAATTATTTTTCTTATTGAAAATTCTTTATTAAATGATTGAAAAGCTAAATTAGCCAGTTGAGCTATGCAGGCACCATTTGGCTTCTTGTTTATTTTCCCTGAGCCTTCCTGTTGGTTTTTGTTTGTTGTGTACACCTGGTTCCTGCTATAACAATTGCTTTGATTGCTCTTTTTGTTATGTTGCTTTGAAGTTCCTTTCCGTTGTTTCCCACTTTTCTTGTCTCAAGCTACTTCCAGGTTTTATACATATCTGGCTTCCACACTCATATTCATAGTCTGGATATTAGCAAAAGCCCTTCGTGTTGTTTGGATTTTGCATATGTCCTTCATGTTGTTGTTTGTCTGATTGCTTTTAGTATTGATGCTATGAAAAGTTACTTCCTGTTGATGTTAAGTTGATGTTGGTTAAGGTGTTCCTGTTGTTTGTTGTCTGGATATTGGTTAAGGTGTTCCGGTTGTTTGTTGTCTGGATGTTGGTTAAGGTGTTCCTGTTGTTTGTTGTCTGGATGTTGGTTAAGACCTTCCTGTTGTTTGTTGTCTGGATGTTGGTTAAGGTGTTCCTGTTGTTTGTTGTCTGGATGTTGGTTAAGACCTTCCTGTTGTTTGTTGTCTGGATGTTGGTTAAGGTGTTCCTGTTGTTTGTTGTCTGGATGTTGGTTAAGGTGTTCCTGTTGTTTGTTGTCTGGATGTTGGTTAAGGTGTTCCTGTTGTTTGTTGTCTGGATGTTGGTTAAGACCTTCCTGTTGTTTGTTGTCTGGATGTTGGTTAAGGTGTTCCTGTTGTTTGTTGTCTGGATGTTGGTTAAGACCTTCCTGTTGTTTGTTGTCTGGATGTTGGTTAAGGTGTTCCTGTTGTTTGTTGTCTGGATGTTGGTTAAGACCTTCCTGTTGTTTGTTGTCTGGATGTTGGTTAAGACCTTCCTGTTGTTTGTTGTCTGGATGTTGGTTAAGACCTTCCTGTTGTTTGTTGTCTGGATGTTGGTTAAGACCTTCCTATTGTTTGTTGTCTGGATGTTGGTTAAGGCCTTTCTGTTGTTTGTTGTCTGAATGTTGGTTAAGGCCCTTCCTATTGTTTGTTGTCTGGATGTTGGTTAAGGCCTCCCTGTTGTTTGTTGTCTGGATGTTGGTTAAGGCGTTCCTGTTGTTTGTTGTCTGGATGTTGGTTAAGGCATTTCTGTTGTTTGTTGTCTGGATGTTGGTTAAGGCGTTCCTGTTGTTTGTTGTCTGGAAGTTGGTTAAGGTGTTCCTGTTGTTTGTTAAGGTGTTCCTGTTGTTTGCTGTCTGAATGTTGTTTGTTGTCTGGATGTTGGTTAAGGTGTTCCTGTTGTTTGCTGTCTGAATGTTGTTTGTTGTCTGGATGTTGGTTAAGGTGTTCCTGTTGTTTGTTGTCTGGATGTTGGTTAAGGTGTTCCTGTTGTTTGTTGTCTGGAAGTTGGTTAAGACCTTCCTATTGTTTGTTGTCTGGATGTTTTTTAAGACTTCCCTGTTGTTTGTTGTCTGGATGTTGTTTAAGGCCTCCCTGTTTGTTACATCAACATTCCCCCTACCTTTTTGTTGCCTCACCAGTATATAGAACAGAGGTTCTTATAACAAAACCAGTAGAAAAAAATTTCTCTTCTATTAACATTACCAACTTGCAGAAAATGTTTAAAAAAAAGAAACTTACCAGTGGATACTGATTTTGGCGTTGTTAAAGCTCAGATCATATACCTGGAAATCTTTTTTGTTAACTGTTGCAATAAATATTGGTTAAACATATCTCATAAACAAAAGAATAAAAAAAAACCCAATGGAGTGGGAGAGAACCAATGTCTTGGTAGCCTTCGGACATCAACCGGATCATGAAGGAAACAAAGATTAATACCCACCAGTAATCAATAGAGTCCCATCGAGGAAGGTAAATACAAAGGACAGAGGATGGAGCATCAACATCTGGATTCTGTTCTGATGACAACTAGCCTAGCTAGCCAAAACCATTGATAAAACCATGGAATCCAGATGATGATGCTCAATCTTCTATGTTATTTGTATATCTCATAGACATATGTTCAAGAAAAAACATCCAAGAAAATACCAACATGGCAGCATAATCAAAATTCAAACACAAATTCCAAATATGAACAAAAGAATGATTAACATGGATATTTCTGAAAAAAGTACAAGGAACTAAGACCAGGTGTTCCGGCAGTGTAAGCGTCTTCTGTTGCATCAACGACACCCGCCATGTAAGCTTTGGTCCATCCAAGTAAGTCATGTTACGTTCTCAACTGAGATCAAGTTATACAACAATCGAACCAACAGGCAAACTAACAAGCATTAAATAAGTCCAGCTTTATGTCGCACAAAGAAAACGAATATTTCTCAATAAGATCGTTGTGGCGATCATAAAACTTCCTCATAATTTCGATCAATCTGCATCTTTTGAACCCTTGTATTACGAGTTTGTCAATCAGTTGACGACATCTTGCACGAAAATCGTGATAATGAGAACAGGCCCTGGAATATCGAATCAACTGTGACATGTAAATACCATAGGTTGGAGATTCAGGGATATTGCTATCCAGAAATGGAAATTTCACAATAGGAAAATTGAATTCATCACGATTTTCATACTGCTTGATAAAAAGCGTCCAAGAAGAAAGAAAAGATCGAGATAAGCAGCTGATGCAGAAGAGTCTGTCTTATCTTTGATTTCCAGTTCTGGTGGATATATACGATGGACGTAGTCAATAAATTTCTTGTTATTTAAAGACAAGGTGTCATCAGTATATCTGAAAGTGAAATTAAACGGCTTGGAAAGGTCTTCGTTACCTGTTTTGAGAAGCTCTTCAATAAATTCAGTCTCATATGAAAACAAAAGCAAGTCAGCCAACAGAGGGGCGCAGTTGGTTCCCATATGTATGCCAATGGTCTGTTTGAAGGTCTTACCACCAAACTTGATGAAGACGTTTTCAACTAGAAATTCCATCATGTTTTATGATTTCGTACTCCATTTATTTCTCCTTTGATTTGTACGTAATTTTATGAGATATGCTTCAGTATAGTTCACAACCATATATTTATAACGGCGTCCACCTTTCTTGGAGCAGAAACTCTCATAACAAGAAAACGAAGGCGTTCCTGCAGTTTAGAATGGGGTATAGTGGTGAACAGAGTGGAAAAACCAAATGTTCTTATAGAAGAAATGATTTTTTAGAAGAGAGTGTTGAAGATTGGTCAAAAGCTGTTTGGAGTTCTTCAAAATTCACATACTATCAATTCCAACTCTTAATCACACAGTATCACAATAAGACTGTAACCCAGATTTAAAAGTACTTAGAATGGTGGTTAGTAGTTGAGACAAAGTTAGACGAGATAGCTATAAAACGTTGTTTATATGGATTCTTGTGAAGGTAACATTCAAAGAAATTTTAGAAAAGACCAAACAAACAACATTACATTACAAAAAATACATATTTATTCATCTATATTACTTATCTATAGTTCTATAGGTTCGTTTTTAAGAAAATTTTCCCCACTATTATTAAGGATTTAATAAAATGATGAAGAATAGATATTTTGAAAATAAAATTTGTATAGGAAAGCATAGTCAGTCTTATGACTTCTGTCAAAGATGTATGTTTTGCAAAAGAATTTAATCACTAAAACAAACAGCCTTTACAATAATCTTCCATCAAATACACACTGTAACCAGTAAAACACTGTAACCATTGGATAAACACTGTAACCATTGGATAAACACTGTAACCATTGGATAAACACTGTAACCATTGGATAAACATTGTAACCATTGGATAAACACTGTAACCATTGGATAAACACTGTAACCATTGGATAAACACTGTAACCATTGGATAAACACTGTAACCAGTAAAACACTGTAACCATTGGATAAACATTGTAACCATTGGATAAACATTGTAACCATTGGATAAACACTGTAACCATTGGATAAACATTGTAACCATTGGATAAATACTGTAACCAGTAAAACACTGTAACCATTGGATAAACACTGTAACCAGTAAAACACTGTAACCATTGGATAAACATTGTAACCATTGGATAAACATTGTAACCATTGGATAAACACTGTAACCATTGGATAAACATTGTAACCATTGGATAAACACTGTAACCATTGGATAAACATTGTAACCATTGGATAAATACTGTAACCATTGGATAAACATTGTAACCATTGGATAAACATTGTAACCATTGGATAAATACTGTAACCAGTAAAACACTGTAACCATTGGATAAATACTGTAACCATTGGATAAACATTGTAACCATTGGATAAACACTGTAACCATTGGATAAACATTGTAACCATTGGATAAATACTGTAACCATTGGATAAACATTGTAACCATTGGATAAATACTGTAACCAGTAAAAAACATTGTAACCATTGGATAAACATTGTAACCATTGGATAAACACTGTAACCATTGGATAAACATTGTAACCATTGGATAAACATTGTAACCATTGGATAAATACTGTAACCAGTAAAACACTGTAACCATTGGATAAACATTGTAACCATTGGATAAACACTGTAACCATTGGATAAACATTGTAACCATTGGATAAACATTGTAACCATTGGATAAACACTGTAACCATTGGATAAACATTGTAACCATTGGATAAACACTGTAACCATTGGATAAACATTGTAACCATTGGATAAACATTGATAAACATAAACACTGTAACCATTGGATAAACATTGTAACCATTGGATAAACACTGTAACCATTGGATAAACATTGTAACCATTGGATAAACACTGTAACCATTGGATAAACATTGTAACCATTGGATAAACACTGTAACCATTGGATAAACATTGTAACCATTGGATAAATACTGTAACCAGTAAAACACTGTAACCATTGGATAAACCGTGTAACCATTGGATAAACATTGTAACCATTGGATAAACATTGTAACCATTGGATAAACATTGTAACCATTGGATAAACACTGTAACCATTGGATAAACATTGTAACCATTGGATAAACATTGTAACCATTGGATAAACACTGTAACCATTGGATAAACACTGTAACCATTGGATAAACATTGTAACCATTGGATAAATACTGTAACCAGTAAAACACTGTAACCATTGGATAAATATTGGATAAACACTGTAACCATTGGATAAACACTGTAACCATTGGATAAACACTGTAACCGTTGGATAAATACTGTAACCAGTAAAAAACACTGTAACCATTGGATAAACATTGTAACCATTGGATAAACACTGTAACCATTGGATAAACATTGTAACCATTGGATAAACATTGTAACCATTGGATAAACACTGTAACCATTGGATAAACATTGTAACCATTGGATAAACACTGTAACCATTGGATAAACACTGTAACCATTGGATAAACTCTGTAACCATTGGATAAACATTGTAACCATTGGATAAACACTGTAACCAGTAAAACACTGTAACCATTGGATAAACATTGTAACCATTGGATAAACACTGTAACCATTGGATAAACACTGTAACCAGTAAAACACTGTAACCATTGGATAAACATTGTAACCATTGGATAAACACTGTAACCATTGGATAAACACTGTAACCATTGGATAAACTCTGTAACCATTGGATAAACACTGTAACCATTGGATAAACACTGTAACCATTGGATAAACACTGTAACCATTGGATAAACATTGTAACCATTGGATAAACACTGTAACCATTGGATAAACATTGTAACCATTGTAACCATTGTAAAATAAACACATTGTAACCATTGGATAAACACTGTAACCATTGGATAATACTGTAACCAAAAACACTGTAACCATTGGATAAACATTGTAACCATTGGATAAACACTGTAACCATTGGATAAACATTGTAACCATAAACACTGGATAAACATTGTAACCATTGGATAAACACTGTAACCATTGGATAAACACTGTAACCATTGGATAAACTCTGTAACCATTGGATAAACATTGTAACCATTGGATAAACACTGTAACCAGTAAAACACTGTAACCATTGGATAAACACTGTAACCATTGGATAAACATTGTAACCATTGGATAAACACTGTAACCATTGGATAAACATTGTAACCATTGGATAAACATTGTAACCATTGGATAAACATTGTAACCATTGGATAAACACTGTAACCATTGGATAAACATTGTAACCATTGGATAAACACTGTAACCAGTAAAAAACACTGTAACCATTGGATAAACACTGTAACCATTGGATAAACACTGTAACCATTGGATAAACATTGTAACCATTGGATAAACACTGTAACCATTGGATAAACACTGTAACCAGTAAAAAACACTGTAACCATTGGATAAACATTGTAACCATTGGATAAACACTGTAACCATTGGATAAACATTGTAACCATTGGATAAACACTGTAACCATTGGTAAAACTGTAACCTGTAAAACCATTGGATAAACACTGTAACCATTGGATAAACATTGTAACCATTGGATAAACACTGTAACCATTGGATAAACATTGTAACCATTGGATAAACACTGTAACCATTGGATAAACACTGTAACCATTGGATAAACACTGTAACCATTGGATAAACACTGTAACCATTGGATAAACACTGTAACCATTGGATAAACCATTGGATAAACATTGTAACCATTGGATAAACACTGTAACCATTGGATAAACATTGTAACCATTGGATAAACATTGTAACCATTGGATAAACACTGTAACCATTGATAAACATTGATAAACACTGTAACCATTGGATAAACACTGTAACCATTGGATAAACACTGTAACCATTGGATAAACACTGTAACCATTGGATAAACACTGTAACCAGTAAAACACTGTAACCATTGGATAAACACTGTAACCATTGGATAAACACTGTAACCGTTGGATAAACACTGTAACCGTTGGATAAACACTGTAACCGTTGGATAAACACTGTAACCATTGGATAAACACTGTAACCGTTGGTTAAACACTGTAACCGTTGGATCAACTCTGTAACCATAAGTGGAGGATCTGCATAATTTTTTTTCTTTATTTTTGCAAAAGACTTTTATTTTTTCTTCATTCATACTGTATAGTGTACAAAATCTGTTACTAAAAGTAAAACAAAGTTTTGTAAAAAAAAAAAAAAAATTAGAAGTTTAAATCTAAATAGAAGTCTCTAATCACATCACTAGTAAGCATCAGGGCTGTTACACAAAGCAGCTCTTTATCAGATGGCTTACTTGGCTTATAAACATTTCTAGTATTTTGACAGAATACTAAAATGTTAATCATTCATTTTGTTTCAAAAGTTGCAATTCATATTAAACACAGTGAATGATAAAAAAAATCTGATTATAAACATCCTTATCTACAATAGAGGTACAGTTAGAATCAATAAACATCCTTATCTACAATGGAGGTACAGTTAGAATCAATAAACATCCTTATCTACAATGGAGGGATGTTAGAATCAATAAACATCAGTGATGTTTTATCAATAATTCAATCATTAACAATATACAGACAGTAATGAAGTTGCCATAAATATTTTGTTGTTGTCTGGCTTCACCTGTAAAGACTTCATCACATTCTGATGAAACAAACTTGTCAACAATAGATCGCCAAAACTACTAGTAGTGTTTGTTTATTGTCGGTGAGGTGAGAATGACTTTTTCTTGGTTCTTATATCCTTATTGCTGTTCCCTGCACACCTTGAGGTAATGAAAATAATGCAGCATTTTTAAGGTATCATATATTTTCATGTTTTTAGCAAAAATAAGGAGATCTCAACTGATCAAAATCAAAATCATATATAGCTTCGACACAAATAAGAATACATAATGTTCAGAATTCAACTATAACAATATGTGAATTTTCTCATCTACATGTACCATAAAACAATCAACATCCATCTATCAAATCCAGAATTCAGATCTATGTATATCAGTAACCCAGGCACCTAATATATCTCCAGAATTCAGCTTTCTCTCTCACAGACACACGAAACACCAGTAACTAACAAACCACATGGGTATATCCTAAATATGTATTAACTTCACTAACCACTTAGCCATGGACTAGTAACTTTGCTAACAAACCATGTCGCCACGAGCTAATAACTTTACTGACAAACCATGTTCAGGGTTTGCACTCTGTATCAACAAAGAGTATTAAACCAATTTTAATCTGGAAAATTTATTTCACTAAAAGCAAATCTGATTTTGTTTTTTCTCGACATTTATTCTTGTGAGTTTATATTTGAGTAAAACCCATCCCAATGAAGTTAACAATAAAGAACATATTCTTGCAAAAAAAATTTCCCAAAAAGGAGATAATGATAAAAAAGACATGAGACACCACACAAATGTTCTTTTTCACAATGGCAAAATATTTTGAATGTTGACAAAACAAAAGAAATCTATTACAAAACAGAATTTATAGTGACAGTCTAGATACAATCTAGAATCACAATACCAAAAAAGAGTTATGTCCCTTCTCTCCATAATAGTAAAGAATGATTTTCAGGAAGAATTAATAAAGACATTGATAATAATAATACAACTTGTTTATTAACTAGTGTTTTACTGCCCGACTCTGAAATTACTCACCCAAGTAAGTGTGTTCTTCTTCCATTTCTCTGAACTTTGCAATTGCAAATAACCACAAATCTGCTGTAATATTGTCTTTTATAATGTATGGCACAAGAAAGAGACATTCTCATATTACATAGCCTTACAATAATAGTCTGAAACATTTTGTATATCATATTACACAGTATAAAATATACATTCACACACTTTATCATTTCTCAAATAAGTCAACAAATATTACTTTCTCATCACTCTCTCTAATTTCCCTAATGAAAGGATCTGTCTGGAATTAACTGACTAGCTTTCAATATTTTTGTCAAAATTTTTATTCAGGATTTCACATACTATTCACATTCATCTTGGACCTTGCTCATTTTGAAACATTTTTTTTTAAGTTTTTTTCAAATTTAAATAATCTACTTGTGATTTCTTGTGTTGACTATACAAAGTTTGGACATAACCCAAACAAATTAAATAATCTTTTTTACCAACAAGGACAGGTTGGCCTATCACAGAGTATTGTGAACACATTACAGAACACTATCATTCCACTATTCCCTAGCAATCATGTCTTCAGAGTAAGAATGCACAGCATCGATAAACACCTGTACATTCTCAGGGTCAGTGTCCTTATGTATCCCATGTCCTAGATTGGCAATGTATCTCTTGGTACCAAATTTCTCTAACATATCTTTGACAGCCAACTTCAACTCATCCTGATGGAAAAGAAAAGTGGTTTTATAGAAAAAAATCTGATATATGTTAACTGTGTTTTATACACATAAGTGGTGTAATGACATGAAGAATACTGACGTTGCTTCAGAGAAATGTCAAATCACAAATTATTTGAAAAAAAAAAATTCCATGAATACCATGCCATCAAATTATGATATACAGTGTCTATCTTTGTGTAGTAGTTACCTGAGGAGCATACAAGAGAGTTGGGTCTAAATTTCCTTGGGCTGTCACTTTTGCACCTAACAAACGCCTGAAATTCAATTTTAATCCATTTATCTTCAGAATAATGTTCAAATACAAGACACTTTAAAAGTTTTCAACTTAAACTTAATTAGAAATAATCTTAATTCATGAATTTATGGCAAATATTTTTACATAATATAAATCCATATGACCAAGAGTCAAAGGATATTTACAAATACATTAATCATGTTGTAATATCATCTTAAATCTGATAATTGTGATGAGACCAAATTTCTTCTCACCTTGCATGTAATGGTTTCTGTGTCCAGTCAAGGGAGACAACTTCATATCCTATTTTTGAAAGCTCTTCCAAGGCAAAATGGGCATCCTTGGCAAAAACGACCTGCAAAGCAAAATTAAGGTTTCAGCAATTTACTTTCCTTATAATTTAATTCAGGTACAAAACCAAGATGATGATGGTTTCATTTGTTATTTCTTCAATATCAAGTGTAACAGATCTCCTTTATCACTCAACCTATCAATGTGTTTGGAATTATCTATACAGTGACTGAACTACTTAGATTTTAACTTTTCCTTGTCCATAATCAGTTCTAGTGATGTAGGGATATATATGTCAACCACCATGACAGCTTGGCTCATAATTCTCAAAATGTTATGTTTTTTTCTTCCAATATCCATATGTTAAATTGAAAATTGATTTAGTTGTAGAAAGAGCTTGAGGTCCTCAGATGATTTCAGCTTGGATTAACATAAAACCCACTGTTAAAGGCTGCAAATGTTTTTGATTTGGACTGACATCAAACCCACTGTTAAAGACCTCAAATGTGTTTGCTTTGGACTGACATTGAATCAAATGTTAAAGACCTTAAAATGTTTTCGATCTGAACTGACATTAAACTCATTGTTAAAGAACGCAAATGTTTTTGCTTTTGACTGACATCAAACCCACTGTTAAAAACTGAAAATTCTGCTCCTTATTACGCAGAGTCAAATTAAGATGTTGGTCAGAAGCTGATAGGCAGTGAAAATGATTATATATTTGAACAGAAATATTATGAAAACATTAATCAGTATGAATTGTCTACAATTATGAACTCATGAGCAATGGTTTCTTTACCATGGGAACATGTTCAATCTTTTCCTGTGAAAGAATTTCCTTTACACCATATGCAATATCTTTCAGATATGGTAAACTGAATTTGTTGAACTGGATTGGTCCGAGCTCTCCAGCACAGGAATCAAAAACTTGCACTATCTGTAAAGCAACATTTCACAGATTATAGTACATCAAATAAGATATCTTACGATTTATAAAACGAAGTCGTTAAAAAGACGAACTTGAATCTGTACCCGTGCAACAAGAGACCATATACCAAATTTCATTTCGATAACTCAAAGCATCAGCCAAAATGTCCGGAAAATATTCCCAGGAAAATTTCTAAGTTGGACGACGGACAAAGTGATCCCTAAATGTCTGCCAGCTCTGCAGGCAACACAATAACTACATTGCATCTTTCCATCTATACTGGTAAATGACCATCAAGTTTAAACTTAATAAAAAGTTTGGTGAGAATAATTTTGTGAATCTTTCCAATAATTCATACATTAATTTAAAATCTGAATGTTGGAGTGTTTTATGAGTATTACCCAATAACTTATACAGTAAGTTAACAAACCTGTGCACCAGCCCTGATCTGTGCGACAAGGTAATCAATGACTTTGGAGGTAAGGAGTGACAGAAGATTGTGACTTTCCTTGGGATATTTCATTAGCCACTTCCTCGCCTTTGGTAGAGGTGAATGGGAACCACCATCAATCATAAATTTCATGAGGGTCCACTGAAACAGAACCACAATGCCTGGAAACATGACTCACTAAAATACAGGAGAAGACATGATCTCCTGTTTATCTGTCAGTAATAAATATACATAGACAAATTCTAAATTACTGTATATGTTCTTGTCAATACAAGCTCTATATCAATGTTACTGACTCACCGGTGCTCCACTGAAGCCAAACAGGGGACACTTGCCGTCTATCTGATGGCGTGTGAGAGTGATTGCATCCATCACATAGTGTAACTCCTTTGCAACGTCCACGCCAGTGTTGAGTCTTTCCAGGTCAGCAGGAGTATTCAATAGGAAATCAAACACCACTCCCTTTATGAAAAGGTAGAGAGTATTATAGGTAAATAGGTATAATGACATAACAGTTAACAACTTTATAAGTATAATGACATACAAGTTAACAACTTTATAAGTATAATGACATACAAGTTAACAACTAAACAGGTATAATGACATAACAGTTAACAACTTTATAAGTATAATGACATACAAGTTAACAACTAAACAGGTATAATGACATAACAGTTAACAACTTTATAAGTATAATGACATACAAGTTAACAACTAAACAGGTATAATGACATAACAGTTAACAACTTTATAAGTATAATGACATACAAGTTAACAACTAAACAGGTATAATGACATAACAGTTAACAACTTTATAAGTATAATGACATACAAGTTAACAACTAAACAGGTATAATGACATAACAGTTAACAACTTTATAAGTATAATGACATACAAGTTAACAACTAAACAGGTATAATGACATACTAGTTAACAGTTTTACAGGTATAATGACATAACAGTTAACAACTTTAAAAGTATAATGACATACAAGTTAACAACTAAACAGGTATAATGACATACTAGTTAACAGTTTTACAGGTATAATGACATAACAGTTAACAACTTTATAAGTATAATGACATACAAGTTAACAACTAAACAGGTATAATGACATAACAGTTAACAACTTTATAAGTATAATGACATACAAGTTAACAACTAAACAGGTATAATGACATACTAGTTGACAGGTATAATGACATAACAGTTAACAACTTTATAAGTATAATGACATACAAGTTAACAACTAAACAGGTATGATGACATACCAGTTAACAGTTTTACAGGTATAATGACATACTAGTTAACAACTTTACAGGTATAATGACATACCATTTAACAGTTTTACAGGTATGATGACATACTAGTTAACGACTTTACAGGTATGATGACATACTAGTTAACGACTTTACAGGTATGATGACATACCAGGTACACACTCTTATAAAAAGTTAACGGCTTCCCAATTAAAATGACATTCACACTTTTCTAAAAAAAAATCAACAATTTTACTTATATAACATTCACATTTTACATTCTATAATTCTTAACTATACTAAAAACTTGAGACAGTAGTAGAGATAATGCAAACATATTTCAAACCAAATTACACCATGTTTCATTCCTGTTTTTATACACTACATGTACAAATACTCACTCCTAAATTGTATTTGTTATCCTATATTTCATTTAAATGCAAAAAAGACAAAGGAAACACGAGGCCTATCTTTTATCAGTTTAAGTTCAAGAGCATCCATTGTCACAATTCAGAGCAAGCCCAGGGGCAAAATTCTACAAAATTTGACAGATCCCTGTAACATTTTAATTGGCTCTGACAGAAAATCTGCTACTCCCGGGAGTAAGGCTGTATTGTACACCCCTGAAGTAGCATTTCATCCTTTATCTTGTATACCTTTCCTTCCACGATGTCCACTTCCATACCCAGTGCTTGAGGGATAACAAGGATGTCAGAAAATATGATAGCAGCATCCAAATCAAACCTGCGTAACGGCTGTAATGGAGGAAGTCATCAATCAAAACTAAGATTTCTGTCTACACTGTCAACATTTCCTTAATGTATGCATAGCAGAGGTAAATATCTTCTACTTCTGTATCCAAATATGATATGCATTCTTGCACTGACATTACTTTAAATCTATTTAAAGTAATTGAATTAAAAACATAATGTGATGGTGGTAGGAACCTACAGAGAAGAGTTGGGGAAAAGATGAAGAATGCAAGCTCTTCTCTTAAGTGGAGAGGAAATTTTCTGAAAATTTGCTTCAAAAACAAAAAAAAAAAAAACAAAAAAAAACCAACAATGACATGTAATGACAAGTACAAATCTTGTAACTTACCTGTAATGTTATCTCACAGGCCATGCTTGGTGTCTGAACTGTTTTGAAGAAATTAGCAGAGTGTTCCTTCTTGTAAGCATTGTACTCTGTAAAAAAAGTTAACAACTCCAAATAAGATTACATTATAATTTGAACTATTTGTGAAGTAGGACCATTACATAGTTCCTGTATGATATCCCCACAGTAGTAATACTATTGGAGGAAAGTGATAGTAAAAGAGTTCATGAACAAGTCAAACTCAAATGCAATTTGAGCGATGAGATAATATGGCAGTTTTATCCTGTATATGTAATGGCAAAAGTGTTTTAACACAGAAATCATAAAGTTATACCTGGAAGGTAGCGTCCAGCTTGTCTCATCAACCATACTGGTACCCGCTCAACCTTCTCACCTCTAGCTGCTCTCAAGATAAGGTCATTTTTGAGAGGTGGGAAAAACTGCAAAATTTTCAATTCAAAGGTGGGATCAACATTTAGTACACAAGTTCTTTTATTTCTTTTTCACCCTATGTTAATACATATCAATAAAGCGTAACTTCAGAAATGATTAAGCCATTACTACTACTGATGGTCTTAATAAACGTCCTTACATAACACCTGGTTGACAAAATGACAGGTAATTGTCACAGGTGAATGTGATTTTGAAAAAAAAACCTATGACAAATAGTGTATAAAATAACCATTATTTGGAATTTAATTTGTCATATTGGCATTCATTAGGTAAGCATAGTGTTACATTTAATCAGACAAAATTTTTTTGAAATGAAAATTTCAAAAATCAAATATGTCAACTTCATTATGTAAAGTTGCAAATACAGTCTATTTTTTACACTCTTTTAAGAATGTCCTTATGTATAAACTGTCTACAGAATCAATTTTATGTAATATCAAAACTGATAAAATACTTTTTGAACATGTCAAACATGTCCAATGCACACTTTCCTATATTTATGAACATTTTATTATTATTATTTTTTATGGTAAATACTGATACAACTTTCATGTTTTTGTATCATACCAATCCAATTAATTATATTGTACATACATATGATTTTAAATTATGGACAGCAGTAAAGGTAATCTCTGAAGAACGATCTAAGGTTGAGATTGTGTTACAAACATATATAAAAAGACAATAAAATAATCATTATAATAACACTAATAAACATGTGATTATCATTCTGTTTTTTTCCTATCAAATAAAACCTGAAGAAATATTCAATGATTTTATATCTTTTACCGTTATCTTTTAAGGCAAGAGACGATAACCTTTTCTGACACCAATACAAGTCAGGTATTTCCTGAATACAGGTATAGGTATTCTAATTGCATTTATACCATTGTCAGAAAGCTGTACATGCATGTCAGATACCTGTATTCCATTATTAACTACTTGTACTGACTACTATACTATAGGTGTCTCATAAAGTTCCCCTTCTCTAAACCCATGGTAGAAGTGTGCATAGGTCATGGTCGCAAAACCAGATTGAAAGATACATGTTTGTATTTATCTTAGTATTAGTGGTTACAGCAAACATTAAATGTTGAGAGTGTAAATATATCAGAAAAAAGTATAATATGTGGAAAATGGTACAAGTGCAACCTCAAACAAGGTGACATAGAAAATGATGACGACATATGTGTTCCTATGGGGACAAAGTAACTGTAACCCTCATCAAAGAACATATTACTGTTGGCAAAGAAACACATCTATGTCAAGTTTATGAGCATTGCCTTGCCAGATGTGTTTTATGGGAATGAAATTGATGAACAGATCCTGACTAAAATACTTGCAACATTCAAGAACCTGAACCTGTGGCTCATTGACCAGAGGTTAAGGGATGTGTTGGGCCTATTGTGAGACGCTGGGTTTTCTGTGTAAATACCTTCCTAGGTCAGACACTGCATGATTCACTGATTGCCAACAAAGACCGCCAGTGCAGAAAGTCAACATCGGTAGTGGAAACTTAAATACTGTTCAAAGAGCAACTCAGTTCAACCTATATCCTCAACACATTGAGGCACTAGTTTCACAAAGTTAATCCCTACACAAAACATTTTTTCAGTATTTTAACAAATTTCATTCATGTAATCTTGAATGACAGTCAAGGTAGCCATTGTTAACTGAACTGAACCCATTCATATGAACAACCCACTTGCCAAATATCAAGACCCACAGATTTCTGGTTATGATGAAACATAATTCTAAGGAAAATGGGAAGGAAGTTGTGTGCTTTTACAATTTCTCATGTTACAAAATATTATAAGTAGCCACCTTTAAAGCAAGTATGAAAAATGGAACCATGTTAATGTGTCCAAAATGGTTCTTTTCTCATAAGTAATGAAAATCTAACAAGCTTTTCTGCTCAGATATTCACTAAGAAGAAAAATTCTTCCTTGAGATAACGTACTCTTCAATATCAAAACAGAAGTTGTATAGTGCACAGAAAAATGATCCTAGTAGTAGTGTCATTTTAATGTTCTAGGAGAACCTTTAACATCCACACAAGTGTTAGTCAGTGAGGTCCCATTTTTCATAGAATGAATTCTGAAACAAACTTTTCCTGATTTAAGCTTCCTATACACATCCTTTTTAAAATTTTTCAGATTTTGAAAATCCAAGTGGGGCCAACACTTATGTTAAATCTCCATACCCTACCTTTTCATTGAAATAGAAGTAACAATGATATGGTATGTTGTATCTTGAAAGTTGTGAACTTTCTGTCAATTTTAAGATTTCATTTGAAAACATTATATCATAGGATGGTTGTTCAAGACTTTATATATAATTTTCATGACTTTGACTTTCTTTCTGGGATACCAGTATAAATATAGTTCACTGTGTCATTACTCTTGTCCACTTCCCATTTGTATTGGTGGACCTCCTCTTTCAAGAGCCATACTTCCTACTGGAGACGCCTATTCGCCTACACTGAAAATTTTCACCATTGTGTATTGTGTACATGTAAATGAGTACCATGTTCCTGCTTATAAGTACACAATACACAATGGTGAAAAACTGCAGTGTTTACAAGTGCTCCAAAGAAAGTCAGTTTTTAAAAAAAATTTTTTTTAATTCCCAAAGACAAGCAGAAGCAGAGGGCAGAATTTAAAGCATTTAAGAGGGACGACTGGGTTTCAAGCAATAATTCAGTTTGGCACTTGTTAACATCACTGAAAGATGGTTGATTCTTTGAAACCCTACTTGATGCAAGCGATCCTGATCCTGATTATAAGTATAACTGAATCAGTAGAAGGGGATAATAGGGCTGTTCAGCACTCTTACTCCTAGTGTAGAAGAAGACTCCCAAATCAAATTATTTGAAATGGAAATCACATTTCCTTAATCTGCTAAGTGGTATTTGTACAGTTGTGCTGTGTAACATCCTGCAAATCAATGTGAAAGGAACTATTAACCATGTCCATCGTATATACATTGATTCTGCCAGTGAATTCATCCATTAGATAAGAAGTGATATCTTCAATGCGATAATGAGTTAAGAAATCTTTTATCATCACCAGAGATATAACTTTTCCAGTGATGATTTTAACTTTCTTAGTTTTGACCAACGAGAGTAATGCATATTGCACTTGTGAAAATATAGATATTCTGTCATAGTCATGAAACAAATGTTTTAAAACATGAAAAAAATGTTCATCCTCGGAAAAAATCACCATAAACATTAGCTAAATCTCTTTCTTCAATGAAATCAATGTGGACAGATTTTCACCAAGCTGTATGGTGATTCCAATTATTGTTTTTCCATTTCTGGACAGCAATTTACCTGCATCCCAAACATATGCTGTTTACATGTCACAGTAGTTTGATATTTAAGGATTTATTCAAAGTATCATGATTTTTTAGATATTGACAATTAGTCGACAAACTCACAACACAAGGTTTTGAGGGGTGCTGATTGAAGAAGATACTGGATGTAGATAACAGTCTCATTGAGAAATATTCTGTTTCTTTGTGCAATATGAAGCTGTTGATGATGGTTAGTTTGCTTGGTGGTTCTGTTAATGTAACCTTGTTCTTATTTGTGAACACGACATTACTCACTTTGATTGATCAATATCTACAAGGTAGGTGTCATAGACGAAGCAGAAGACATTTTATCTTTTGAAAAACCTGATCTTACCTGGTATCATTCTCAATCTACTTTTTCAACTGTGTAAATATTTTTTTGTTCATATTTTCCCCTATTTTCATCGAATTTCTGATTACTCAAGTAATCAAAGTACTGTAAGTACTATGAACTCAAATGAGAGAAAAATATCTTAATTGTGACTGATGTGCTTTAAAGGTCACACAAAGCAAAGAGTTCAAACATCATTTAAAACAACAAAATAAACATTATAAGAATAAAATTGAAATTATGTACATGTAACTGAATATTCGAATATGCATCAAATATTCATTATATCAAATAGATTAAATATTTAATTCATTGGCACTAGCTTAGACCATTGTGATGTGCTGATGGTGACAGAAATAATTGATAACAGTAAACTGAGTGGAACTTTTATGAAATGTGTTGTCCACAGTCTATGAATGACTATGTGAAACATATATGTTCTTGTATCAGCTTTTCCACTGAAGGCATATGTTAGAGAGTTTTAGGAAGTAATGCAAATATTTCTATCTTTTGGCAATTTGAAACATCTTAATTACATGAAACTGCACATCCTTCACAAACACATACATATGGGCATTCCAATTTTAGGATTTTAGGAAACCCAACCACTCTCAGAAAAATACCAGTAGATGTTGGGATTATAACTCTCTGCCTTTTATCACAGATCACAGAAAGATCTTGTTTTAGCCACCAAACAGTTTTCATTCACTAGTTTTTGCTAATAATCATATAACTGACTTATTCATTACTTGCTATGAATGAGAAATGTGATTCCAATGCCAAATCAATAAAGATTTTCAAACAACTAATTCTATCCTACAATTACAACATGGGATCAAAGATGCTTAAACCGTATGCAGAGATTTGATAAGAATTTCAATGAAACAATGAACGTTTTCTTTTTCAAAACCATATACATAACCATCAACCTAACTTTACTTTACTAGGGAACATCACCAAATAGATAAATGAGAAACAAGGATGAGGTGAAAGAGAAACATAAAGGCAGCAATAATTAGAATGCCTGATAGAATTTACAAAGGCATTGAGAAAGATGATGACGAGTGTAAACTCATTTGTTTTAAACAATAAAAGTCACTTGATCATGTGTAATGATTGTACCTATGTTGGATGGAGTATATGTTTATTTATAAATATTCTAACACTGTAGTTCTCAACCAATTACATTATTCAGGTTTTCTCTGGTTACTTCATTAGTCATGTCTATGAAAAAGTCTAATTTCTTGTGTGAGATGCCTGGGGATGAATTCAGTTTTATTTCGTCCCTAAAATGTTCTA